GGTGTATCGTTAATTGTAATTTGGGCGTTTATGTCGGTGTTCTTACTAATGATCATTATTTTTGTCTTCTCACAGTTTAGTTTTAGGCCGAATTTGTTACATACTTCTACAACGTTATCCATCATCCTTTGAAGCCCCTGCGCACTATCTGCCAGCAACACTGTATCGTCTGCATATCTAATGTTGTTTATAAGTTGGCCATTTACAGCAATCCCATGTTCTGATTCGTCCAAAGCATCTCTAAAGATGTTTTCAGAGTATATCAATCAATCAATCAATCAATAATGCCTTTTATTTCTCAATTAAAAAATACAATACAATATTCCTTTTAGTGACATTTGTTCCCTTGGCACATGCCATCTGGAGGTTGGCAAACAAATATTCCTAATTAATATACAAAAAATTACACGAAGGCTTATTCTATCTAAGAAGGCCATTAAAGTTAATAAAAATAAATTAAGTAAATATTCATATAAATGTAGTAATAAATGTATATATCCTACTAAGTAACACTTCGAACTAGACTTCACAGTAATAACAATGTATAAGTCAGTACAGAAATACTACTACTACTAAGGATTTCCACAGTTTTCACTGTCTTCCTTCACTCAACCGTTTTCTCCAATTTTCCCTGTCATTCCAGTCTCCATCTCGCAGGGTTCTTTTCTCCATAGCCTCGTCGATTTCGTCTCTGAATGACCTTCGGGGTCTTCCTCTCTTTCTTCTTCCGATCGGGCTCCATTCTGTAATTTTGTTTATCCAGCGTCCTCTGTCCGCTCTTCTGACGTGGCCGTACCAGGATAGTCTCTTCTCCTCTATATAGTCGATTATGTCTGATTGCACTCCCATTCTCCGCTTAATCTCTGCGTTTTCAATTCTGTCTCTTTTTGTAAGTCTACAGCTTCTCCTCAGGAACTCCATTTCTACTGCTCTTATTCTACCTCTATTTCTCTTGTTTATTGTCCAGTTTTCGGACCCATATGTCAGGATACTTCTTGTCAGGGTATTATATATTCTCTTTTTTGTCTTTATCGTAATGTTCTTATCCCACAGCACTGAATTTAGTTGTCTTATACAGTTTCTTGTTTGTCTTAGTCTGTTGTTTATATCTTCTTCTGTTGTTCCTGGTTCGATATTATGGTTCCTAAATACTTGAATTTATCTGTTCCATTTACTTGTCTTCCTCGTCTATCTCTAGGTTTCTCATATCCTTGTTTTCTGTTGTTAGGTATTCGGTTTTCTCTAAGTTTATTTCCATTCCGTTGTTTTATATTCTTCTTCTAGTTTTCTGAGCATAAAGCTGAGATCTTCTTCATCTTGTGCGATGACTACTTGATCGTCGGCAAAACTTAAGGTGTATAGGTATTCGTCTCTTACTGGTATGCCCATTCCTTCGCACTTTCTCCTCCATGGTTTGAGTGTCTTTTCCAAGAATATTTTAAACAGAGTAGGGGACGTAGCACAGCCTTGTAGAAGTCCTTTTGTCGTCTTAAATGGATTGTAGGCTTTATTTCTACATTTAATAGCTACTTTGTTTTATTTGTACAGTGCTTTAACTGCTTTTATTAGTGTTTGTCGGATTCCGAGATCATCATTGCTTTCCATAATTTGACTCTAGGTATTGAGTCGTATGCTTTCTTTAGATCAACAAAAGCCAGATGGACCGGTCTACCTTTTGCCATTTTCTTCTCTATCAGTTGTTCTAATATGTACATGTGATCTGGGCATGATTTTCCAACTGTGAACCCGCTTGGTCTTCTCCAATTTTTCTTATTATTTCAGTTTCTAGTTTTTCCTTGATAATTTTCCCGTAAAGTCTACCTACCGACGATATTATACTAATTCCTCTGTAGTTTTCACATTTTTTCCTATTTCCTTTCTTATGTATGGATGTGATGTATGCTTGTGTCCATTCCGCAGGTATTTCCTCTCCATTTATTCATCTTTCAAGCATTCTGTGTAGCATGCGGAATAACTGTTCCGTTCCGTTTTTAATTAGTTTGTTTGGTATCCCTCCGTGTCCTTTGGTTTTTTGTTCTTCAATGTCTTGATTGCTCTCTTGACTTCTATCAGAGTACAATAATAATAGAAATAACAGTAATAATTTTATTTATATATATTTATAACATAGGAACACGGAAAGAGTCCCACCAGAGCTCCATCCTTTTGATACGGTAGGTATCTGGGATGAGTGAGTTTTCCCCTTAGAGGAAGTGTGAGCCGTATGGCTAAATAATTATAAATACATAATAATAATAACAATAACAATTTTTCTTTTATTCCTTTTTTCTCTGGTTTTGGGATGTATTTGTGTTGATTATGAGTGTTTGCGTGAAATGAGCTGCTATTTTGTTGAGCTTTAACGTTTGAGTTTGATTTCGGATATGTTTGGAAATTATTTGGTGGTACTATTTTTGTAGGAAATGTAACCGGAGTATTTTCTGTGGGTTTATGTGTCTCTTGTCCAACTTTATGCAGGGTAAGAGTTTTAAAGTTTGTATGAAGTTGTCTGGTTTTAAGGTCTATTATACATTCATAATGGTCTAGGAAATTTAGGTCTATTATGCCGTCAAAGACAATGTCTAGATTAAAAATAAAAACTTTGTGAGGATTGTCATCGGTAAAGAGAATAAGGACAGATTCTGTAATTAGAAGTTTTTCGTTGGTTATGACTTGAATGGTAACATTTTCTGGGGATCGTGTGTGATAATTTCGTGCAGTATTCTCTTTGAAAACTGTTAATTCCTGCACCGGTGTCAATTAGAAGTTTAAAAGTATTCGTAGCGTCATTAATATAAGTTTTTAGAGCTCAATGTGTGGAAGGGGCTTACAGGAATTTCTTTTTGGGGAAATTCACATTTGGATAGAAATTGTCCAAATTGAGGGCTTGGATTTGTTGTTGTACGTTCGTAATATCGGTTGAAAGATTCGTATGTACTGGGGGATAATTCTGATTGGGTAGCGAAAGAAAATCCTGATAATTTTCTGTATCAGGTGTATTATTGATATAATCAGATGTATCATTGGTATTAATCGTAAAAATAGTCAGTTTAAAGATCATTTTCTGTATATTAATCTTCATAAGATACTACTAGATCATCAGGGTATTCATTAAAGACATGGACTCTTTGCTGAAAATTTGAAAATTTGAATTTCTCTGAGGGAGCGAAATTCAAATTTTGCGATGGGGCGCATTTGCGGTTTTGGGGTTGATTTTGAGAAGGAAAATTCGATCTCTGTGGGTTTAAATTTTGTTGATTGGAAAAGTATTTATTTTGATTACTTTGGTCATTTTGTGGTCTACCATTATATTGATTAGAAGGGTATTATTTTTCGTTGCCTGGAGTAATTGCATTAAATCAGAATTATGTTGTTGATTTGTAAAATGCGATTATCTCGAAAACTGTTGAGTTTTGAAGTTAGTAACGAGTATACCTTTTTGTTTGGTAAAATAATGTATCTTTAATATTTTTTTATCACAAACAGCGGTAACTTAAAGAGAAAAATGTTAAGTGCAAATGTATGCCACATACGTGGCATATGTAGCGCCCTCTATCAGCTACATTAAAGTATGCATCAAATTATAATTCCTGATGTTTAATAGTACCCAGTTATAAATTTTTATACATAAATGTTTACAAACATAAAAGTTATAGCGAAAGATTTAAAATTTCCACTTTAACACCCTGTATCTTTCTTAATATCAACATTTTATTAAAGCAATTTGGCTTAAATCGTAATATTTTAAAGTGTTGAATCTACGGTTTCTTTTTGTACAATTACTTAATGGCCACCCTGTATAGAAAAAGTATAATATTATATATATCTAGGACATGCAATTAAAAACGAAAAGTAAAATCAAACCTAGAAATTAGAAGAAGTACACAATTGTCATGGGTTGATTTTAGTAAGTTGATCTTCATTTTAAAAGACAGATCAATCCCAGTAAATTTAAAAAAGAAAAACTTATGACACTTGAATACTAGCAGTTGCAACTTATGGATTGGAAAATATGGCAATAACAAGAAAAATGCCAGAACAATTAAGAGTACAGAGAACATGTTAAATATAAGCCTCAGAGACAAAATTCCTAACACCGAAATACGTCGAAGAACTAAAGTAACCGAGATCATGGGCGGCGAATCAAAATAGCGACATTGAGATGGCAATGGGTAGCACATGTAGCAAGACAAGACACCAACAGATGGTCTCATAAAGTGACATTCTGGAGACCTCGAGAAGCAAAAAGAAGCGTGGGAAGACCCAAAAAGAGATGGATAGACGATATAACAGCTGTAGCTGAAAAGCAGTGAGTGATAATTCCAAAAGATAGAGAAGCGTGGAAGCAATTTGAGAAGGCCTATGTCCAACAATGGATAAATGAAGGCTGAAAAAGAAGAAGACCGACCTGGGGAAAATTTTACACAAATTTAAAAGACAGTAATTCGTCGATGTTCAGATGTATTAATAACATTTTATTTTGTTAATAAAAAATTAATAAAATTTATAAATTAGTGCAAAAAATTGCTTTTTTGCAAATATCTCCGTAAATTAATAATAATTAAAAATAAAGATCTCCTTGATATAAAAATTGATATAAATATTGATTGTGTAAAATATAAGGGAACAAACTATAGAAAAATATCAAATTGTGACAATAAATTATTGTTTAAAAAAAAGGGCAAGGTAAAACTACGAATACTTTTTCATCTATTCGTCATCTAGTAAGATTCACCTATGTCTTAAAAGCTTCAGATATCTGCGAAAAAATGTTCAACCTTTTTTTAACCAGACTGGGCTAATAAGAACACATCGCATATTGTTTAAAAATCTTACAAACGCGAATATGTAAAAAATATTTGAAAGATAATTTCTACAAAAATTTGAATTATGTTAAGGTAATAATCATCTTAATATAAAATGTTATCTTTAAGTGGGTAACTACGTTCTAAATTTTGAGATATATCTATAAATATAAGCCGAATATAGGCCGCCCACATTATTATTCCACGTATCTTTAAAGCAGTGACATCGAAGTGTTAGGCTTTAAAGATGAAGGCTTTCCTAAGTATTAGTTTTGTACTTTTTATACTTTGTTCAATAGAATCAAAGTCTCTAAATGTCAAGCATTCTAGAAAGCCAATATTTAAAGACTTATACGGAAAACTAACCCCGGAAGTAAGAGGAAATCCTGGAGAGCCCCTGATATTAACTGACTTGATCAAAGCAGGAAAACTGGATGAAGCTCAGAACGAAGCACTCGTACAAGGATTGGACACGGATGTTAAAAGTTACTCTGGATATTTTACTGTAGATGAACAGCATAATTCTAATATCTTCTTCTGGTTTTTCCCTTCACAAAGTGATGCCAGTTCGGATCCGGTAGTTTTATGGCTCCAAGGAGGACCAGGATCTACATCCATGTTTGGACTTTTTCAAGAAAATGGACCTCTTTTATTAAAGGGTAAATATGTATTTTAATGATGATTTAATATTAGTTAAATATTTTATGTAATGATATTTATTTATCTAGTTTCTCTACATCTTTATTATCATGGATTCATATAGTTCATATAATCTTTTTCCTTAATATATTTTTTGTACGTATTTTGCAATGATTTTTTCAATTTTAATTTTACTTGGTAAATCTGTTTATATGACCTTTTTATCTATGCATTTCTTAGATGATCATTATTGTCATTGATGGTTTTTACCATATCAAACTTTCTTTTTACAATTCTCTTATTGTTTATTTTAATATTGTTATTATTAGAGTTTTCTATTTGTCTTTCTTCTCTATTTTCTTTGTCCTGATATTTTTTTAACCCTTCCATTATTGATTTCATTGTAGCTAAATAAAGCTGTTTAAAATGACTTTAATGATATTCTTTGATACCAGAGACCTAACAGAGTAATTGATTTTTTGTACATTGTGGCGTGTCCTTGTATCCTTAAAAAGACATGGGACATATATGTCCTATTAGTGTTAAATGGTGGGATAAATAAATCCCATCAATGAAGAAACAAACTTATATTCAAAATAAAAAAAGTACATTACAAAAAAAAATAATTACTTCTTATGAATAATGTGGTAAAAAACAATTTTTGCATAGAGGCACATTGCACGATGTACAAATAGTCGTAGTTTGAGTTTCTGATTTATTTTGTGCAAATCTACCTACTGTTAGTAGTATTTGTTGTGGCAAATGGTCTTCAACGTTGATCATCTGTTTCTGTTGTTTAGATATTCTTACATAACAACCAAATATTCGTCTTTTTTTATTTGGATTCGATCTTTATAACTCTTAAAGCGAGCTCTACTCCCATAAAATTATCGTAAAAAATATTTGCCTCTGGACAAGTGAACTCTGATTTTTTCTTCAGTTTTCAGCTTTATGTTGATAATACCAACACTGTTGTACTGTGACAATTGGACATCAGCGTCACGTTTTTCATATCTTAATTTAGTCGCTAAAATATTTTCGAACAAAATTAAAGTTCCATTTTTATCCCTTAACATTTTTTTATTTTCAAGTTTGGCTGCGTTTACCCGATTGGCAATATAAGTTTCTCAACATGTAAAATTTAGGATTTTTGTTAGGCTGAAGGAAGTAAAAAATCTATCAAAACATAGACACACATCTGATAACCGTATGGTGTTAATTAGAGTTTTAACAACTTGTCCTCTTATAGTTCCAGTAGTTGGTGTGGATTTTTTCTCTCGAGTAAATATTGAAATTGTATATATATATCCTGATAAAGAATCACATCGTTGCCACATTTTTATATCTCTTTTTAATGGCTTTATAGGAAGATACTGCTTCAGGCTAGATCTCCCTTTCAACTTGATTCGTCGATGGACTGCTGGTAACTCTCAGTTTTAGCCATTACAAAAGTTTGTTTCAAACAAGAAACCAGGTAACACATAGTAAAACTTAGATAACAGGAATAAACAGCAATCTATTGAAATAGTTGTTTTATGAAAGATTTCGGAAGTGATTTGTTTTGTGACTAGTAGTGTCAGATAGATAGAACTTTATTTTAACACATTAACATAGTACAAAATTTGGTTTGTACAGGAAGCAAGATGCATATATAAACTACGCTGAAATAATTTTAGTGAAATATCAACAGGATGGGAACCTTTATGAATACTAAGTATTGTTTTTCCATTTCTCTAGGTAGGAACTTTTTTTTGCAGACAAAAGTTTTTATGTGGTATATTCCATTGTGTAGTCCAGTGTTTTCCAAAGTGGAGGTCGCGACCCTCTGGGGGTCGCTATGAGGTACTAGGAGGGTCGCCGAACATTTTAAAAATAAGACAAAAGAACCACTTTGTTAGATCATGTATTTTTATTTTAAGAACGCCGTAAATAGAAATTAACAATTAATTATCAGACGAAATATAAAACTAAATATTAAAGTCTGTAAAAATAAAAGAATAAAACTATTTCAAATATTATAATCTTAATGAGAGCTATGCGCCTGTTTCTGTGAAACTAATCTTTCAAATCTAGGCTGTGTATTTAATACATACACAATTATATCATTTTCAAGTACGAGACGATTTCTAACTCTTGTTTTAATGACAGTCATAGACGAGAAACTTAACTCACACAAATATCATGTTACAAAGGGAACCAAACATTTTACAACTTCACTAGGCAACTGGGGTATTCCTGCATCTTTTCTTCGGTCCAAAATTGGTCAAAGTTCTGGGAAAAAAACATCAAAGCTTCAACATTCCATCACTCGATATTTCAATAAGTTTTTCTTTGATGTTTATTGGTACTTCAACATGCTGAAAGGAATCAACTAAAAACGGATTTAGTATCTATCTGCAACTGTCGTAACTGTTTTGAATTTCTTCGGGAAAATAATCACAGAGCTGTTGTTTTAAATTGAGAAAAGTAACATGCATGTCAGCAAAAACTTAAAGTTCAAAAATTGTAGCACTGTGATTGGATACATTTTCCATAATTTCCTGAGGGCACTGGAATGAATCGAGTTGTTTTTTGCCAAGTGAGGTCGACCATAGATCGATTTTTCTTAGAAACGGCTTACTTTTATCTGTGGCTGTAATTAAATTAATGTTGCGACCTTGTAAATTACTGTTCAAAATATTTAATTGCTCGAAAATATCAGCAAGGAAACCTAGTTTCAGAAGCCAAAATGGATCGGAAAATTGATTTTTACATGGGGACTTCTCATCTTTCAAAAACATTAAAAGATCTGATCTTAAGTGAAATACTCTTTTTAAGACGTTGCCCCTTGAAAGGCACCTGACTTCGGTGTGATAGAGAAGAATTTCAAATAAAACACCCATGTCTTCGCAATTTTTTTTTTTTAAATACGGATTTGCAAAGCTTTTCCTTTAATGGAATTCATAACTTTAATTATGGTTTTTATAACACAGTCCATGTCAGGAGGTAAAGCTTTGGACGCAAGACCTTCTCGATGTAAAAAACAATGTCTCCATTTGGCATTAGGCATTATTTCTTGTAATTTGATGACAAGACCAGATTTATGTCCTGTCATAGCTTTAGCGCCATCTGTGCATATAGCAATACATTTACCCCAGTCAATATCATATTTACTTGTACGTTTCACAAAAGTGTTGAGTAAACATTTTCCAGTGGTATTGTTCCCAGTAGTCGGTCAGATAGCTCAGCGGCTGTGCGGCTACCTCTCATTCGCTTCACTGTCGAATGGTTTAGTGGATGTGGGATCGAGCCCAAGCTCGTGTACAGAAAACAAAAAGTCTAACGCAGGATCGGCCTATGGTGGAGCAGTACGGCAAGAGATAAGGGCTTGCGGCTTGGTGATACTCCTCCATATATCCCTACCGGACAGGCGTAACGCCTAAAAAACCGGATATATATATATATATATATATATATATATATATATATATATATATATATTGATCTCCAATGGGGAACAAAATAAAATATCTTCTTGAATGTCATTATTTGTATCATATCTTACAAACGTAATGAATTGGGCACAGTTAGATATATCTGTGGATTCGTCCATCTGAAGAGAGAAGTACGTGCATTTATTAAGATTTTCCACAACTTGCGCTTGAATATCTTCTGCCATATAACTAATTCTTCTTTGGATAGTATTATTTAACAGAGGTATTGTATTTAATTTTGCAGCCTCTCTTTCCCCACACATTATATGTACCATTTCAACAGCTGCTGGAAAAATCTGATTTTCAGCAATTGTGTGCGGATTACTAGTTTTGGCAACACGATAAGCAACTTTATAACTTGCTAATAATGCTTTTTAATTAGTAGTGGTTGCCAAGGGAAAACTGTCTTGCTGTTTGTGAAGGACGTTCAGCTTTCTTTTAAAGAATTCTACGAGCTTGTCTTTTTTATCTGGATGTTTGCTATTTAAATGTCGAAGTAACTTTGATGGCTTTATGCTTTCTTTTGACAAGACTTGTCCACAAATAACACATTGTGGTTTATTGGAAATACTGGTAAAACCATATTTAAGATATTCATCAATGTAGAATCTGTTTTTCTTTTTACTGCTGCTACTGCCACTTTAAACGTAGATGGTTCTGTACTTCTTTTTAAAAAACTTATCCATAATTTATAATTTATCGTAGACGTAAATACGTAAACGGGAATACGTAAGTCGTAAAATATTTACTCATTGCAAAACGATGGTACGAGAACGTTCCAGAGTGCCATCTAGTAGCAAGCGCTTTCGCGATTATCATGGAAGACTTTTGCAATGTAGACACAAGCTAATATGTCGCGGTGTACAATGTGCAGTCAACTTCTTATTATTTATTTTAATTGTAAATGCTATTCTGGCAGAAGTACCTACGACTAATAATTACTAGTGAGACAGATCGCAATCATTAAAATAATTGTATTAAAATAAAATAATTGTTTTCGATTTAAACTTAAACAGTAAAGTAAAATTAAATTTGAGAAACCATCAGATAATTGTAAATTAGGCACCTATTTCTGTCAAATAATATTAAATAAATATGTAGGGGAAATTGGGGGGTCGCAAACAAATTTTTTAGCAAAAAGGGGTCGCGGTTTAGATACGTTTGGGAAACTCTGATGTAGTCAATTCATTCCTTTTAGACCATCTTTAGATATTTCTGCGTTATCAGAACTTTCTTCGTCGAAAGCAGTGATATTTACATTCACACGGTCAGGAGTATCAATTTCTTCTTGAAGCTATTTTTGTATTAAAAAATGTCTACGTGCCATAGTATGTCTGCAACCAAATATGTGAATGAGATAAATATGACCCGATATAAACTACTACTGGGACACTAGAGTCCCGTTTTAAAATTATGGTAAAATTGATGAAAACAATATCAAAAATAAACAATATATATCACTAGCCTATGTTAATCAGCAACTAAATTATATATAATCGGTTAAAAACAGAGCAGTCACTTTTTCTTTGCTAAAATTGTATTATTTACAAGTTGTTGATGCACGTGTTTAGTTAACATAAATTAATAGGGAAAGACGTGATATGCAGGTTGCTCACTACTAGGTACTGAGTAAGGAATGTCTAAAAATACGAATGCTTTCAAATAACATGGACTGTGTGGACAGATGATAGCAGATTTTTTAAAATCAGCTGGGACACATATGTCCCCACAGTAATGAAAGGGTTAAATGTAATTATGTTGCTTCTAAAGTTCCGTGAGAATTATGTCAGATAGAAAAGATCCCTTGATGAAAAAGAAGAATTTTTCATAAGCAATATATAAATATGAATATATGAAATGAAGACCACAACAGTGTAGCACTCATTAAAAAACTTTATTGGGATCAAATGGCGTCAATCAAAATTGACAATCATCTGACAGCAAAATTGTCAATAAAAAGAGGAGTTCGTCAGGGCTCTGTACTTTCCCCACTGTTATTTAATATATATTCGAAAAGATCTTTCAAAATGCCCTCGAAAATATTGAAGAAGGAATAAAAATCAACGGAGAATACGTAAACAACTTAAGATACGCAGACGACACCGTCATTATTGCGGACAGTGCTGAGGGTTTACAACGACTTTTGAATTTCATAACCAGAGAGGGAGATAGCTTGGGACTAAATATAAACACAAATAAAACAAAAGTAATGGCTGTTACACGTGCACCAAATGTCGACATTAATATTCGTATCTATAACAAACATATAGAACCAGTACAAAGATTCCAGTATCTTGGTTGCTGGATAACAAACGATCTTGACCACGAGGTCGAAATACGTGCTCGTATAGAATATGCTAGGTCCGCATTTCAACGAATGAAAAAATTCCTAATAAACTCTACGTTATCGTTGGATATCCGATACCAATTTGTAAAAACGTTTATTTATTTCATATTGCTATACGGAGTGGAAACATGGACTCTCGAAATTACAAGTATGAGGCGTATAGAAGCCTTTGAGATGTGAGTTTTTCGAAGGATGCTGAAGATCTCTTAGACAGAGCACGTGGCCAACAACGAGGTGCTAAGAAGAATGGGTACTGAAAGAGAACTCCTAAATATTGTAAAAATATGTATGGATCAAAGAAGAGAAGTCAGAAATAAAGACAAAAGCGAATACAAGAGGATCCACGCAATAATCAGGCAGAAGAAAAGACACGCGAAAACACAATTTCATAGTAAACAATGTAATGAAATTGAACAATATGAAAAGAAACACGATACATTTCATCTGCACAAGAAATTAACAGAGGTCGCTGAAAATAAACGGAAACAAGTATCCCAAAGTTTAGAAGACAGAAACGGACACAAATATTAGACATCAATGAAAAGTTAAAAGAATGGGAAAACTACATTTCTGAATTATTTAAGATGAGAGAGTAGAACACTATACACCGATTGCTATATCAGGTCCATCTATAACAGAAAGTGAGGTAAGACGTTCAATCAAACGGCAAAAAATGGAAGAGCACTTGGCCCCGATTAAGTAAGTGCTGAAATACTAAAGTTTTTGGGAGAAAATGGAATTAAATCTCTGTGTAATCTCTTTAACAGACATTTATGACACTGGGATATTACCAACTGATTGGTTAAAGTCAACATTTGTCACAATACCTAAGAAACATCGTCCAAAGACATGCGGTGATTATCAGACAATAAGTCTGATGAGTCACGTTTTGAAGATCTTCCTGCGATAATACACAGCAGAATTTACACGCTGTTAGAGGACAGAATTAGCAATACTCAATTTGGGTTTAGAAGTGGCTTGGGTACAAGAGAAGCCTTATTTAGTATACAGGTGCTAGTATAGAGATGCAGAGATATAAATCAAAATGTGTACATTTGTGCAATCGATTTTGAAAAAGCTTTGGACAAAGTCCGACATAACAAAATGCTAGAAATATTGGAAACAGCTGGATTGGACGATAAAGATCTACAAATAATTACAAATCTATACTGGCATCAAGTGGCAAGAATAAAGGTTGAACAAGAACTGTCGGATGAAATAAATATAAAAAGAGGAGTGAGACAAGGCTGTATATTGTCGCCTTTACTTTTTAACTTATATTCGGAGGAAATATTTAATGAAGCCTTAATGGAGACAACCGAAGGTATTATTGTGAATGGAGTAACCGTCAACAATATTAGATATGCCGACGATACCTTAGTCCTTGCCAATTGCGGAGAAGACCTTCAAAATCTAATGAACAAAATAAAACAGACTTGTGATCAGTATGGATTAAAACTCAACGTTAAGAAAAATAAATATATGATAGTTAGCAAACAAAATTATATACAGGATGACGGTATAAAAGTCGGAGATGCCACACTGGACAGAGTAGAGAAACTCGTGTATCTCGGCAGTAATATCAATGAGAGCTGGGATCCAACCGCAGAAATTAAAAGCCGAATAGAACAAGCCCGAGCTGCCTTTGTAAAAATGAGAAACGTACTTTGCAGTCACGATCTTAGCATTGACCTTAGAGTTCGTATGACATCTTGCTACATCTTTCCTGTCCTGCTGTATGGAGTGGAAGCGTGGACTCTAACTGAGGCTATGCTTAAACGCTTGACAGCCTTTGAGATGTGGGTATACAGACGACTACTGAAAATAAGCTGGGTCGACAGAGTTAGAAATGAGGAGGTCCTTAGACGCTGACCAAACAACACAACTGGTCAATATAATAAAGAAACGCAAGCTGGAATACTTCGGTCACATTATGAGACACCCTGAAAAATATGATCTTTTACATCTGATCATTCAGGGAAAGATCCAAGGTAATCGTGGTCCTGGTAGACGAAGAACATCATGGCTGAAAAATCTAAGGCAATGGTATGGAAAATCAACTACATCGTTATTTAGAGCTGCTGTCAATAAAGTCACGATAGCGAATATGGTAGCCAACATGATATCCAACAATCGATAACGGTCATGGAACTAGAAGAAGATCCTGTATATTTATCTTTACATCTGATTTTTTGTGTTTCGGTATTTATATTTTTACAGCTGAGTAGAGTTATATTAGTTATTTTTGTTTTGCGATTTCAATGACCCACACTGCACATTTTTCTTTTTACTTTGTTGGACTTATATTTGGGTGTTCCATACATCCCTTGTCTTTAGATAACACTTCAAATCATGGTTTTCTTTATTTCCTTTAATTTTGTTCTATTTTATATAGTACTATTCATATTTAATTATTATTTTTTTTATCTAACATTACCTGCTAATTAGCTTTTGTGTGTAATATAATTATTATTTCTTCAGATGGTGAGCTTGGTGTTAGACCGACGTCTTGGAATAGAAATCACTCAGTTATATACATCGATCAGCCAGTTGGAACTGGATGGAGTTTTACTGATGGGGGTTATGCCAAAGATCAGAATAAAGTAGCTACTGATTTGTACGAAGCTCTGCAGCAGTTTTTCACCCTATTTTATCAATACCAAGATAGAGACTTCTTTGTTACAGGTGAATCTTACGGAGGAAAGTATGTTCCCTCTATAAGTTATGAAATTCACCAAAGGAACGAAAATGCGGAGCTTAAGATTAATCTTAAAGGTTTGGCTATAGGTAATGGTTTTACTGATCCTATCGTACAAATACGGTATTCTGAATATGTCTATCAACATGGACTTATTGATTTGAAGACAAAAAATTCGCTTCATAACTTAGAAAATAAAGGTAAGATTATTTTTTATATATGTTTTGATGATGAGATAGTAGTACTTTTGATTTGAAAAATACAAACTCTAAATTATTTAACATTTAATTAATGATGTGAGGAAAATGTTACATGTCGTTTCACATTGATAGATAATTCAAATAGAGATTGTTTAGTTGTCATGACTATAGTTGTAAAATCAATTTTTAACCGACGTCGCCATAGAATGCCTAAAGAAAAGATTGTCCCATACGTAAAGAAAAAAAGGAGAAATATGGTAACAAGGACTAAATGTCTGTAAAAGAAAACTAACAGAAGATAGAAAACTTAATCAAGAAAAATAAATGGATGACAGATGACATCTTGAAATTAATGGAACAACGTTGACTGGTAAAATCTAATATAACAGGACATAGACACCTGCAAGAGAAGAATAAAAAAGGAGATCAAATTAGCCAAAGAAAAATGGATGAGAGGAAGGTGCGACGAAATGGAGGATGTAATATCTAAACATGACTTATTTAATGTGTACAAAAAACTTAAAACAAATGAGTAATATATTTAAAAAAAAACGAGTTCCATCTGTACTCGTTGACAATGATAAGAAAATTATTGTTAATGAGCACGAAATAAGAAAAAATTAAAGAAGAAGAAAAAGAAATGAAAAAATGAAAAAAGAATACGGCTGTATAGATTAGGTGTTTGAAGATGACAGGAATAATATTGCAGAATTCTACCAAAACCGTACTGACAGCCAAGAAATAATGAAATGCGAGGTAGAACACGCTATAAATAGTGCTAAAATTAGAAAAGCTTGTGGTCCAGATGATACCCCAACGGAGTTGCTGAAACTAATAGAGAATGATAACATAAAAGTAACAGTACGACTTTTTAATTCAATATATAACACCGGAGTGATTCCCGCAGATTGGCTCAAATCCATCTTTGTTGCAATAACTAAAAAAAAATGAGGAAAATGCTCAGAATATTGATTAAATTAGCCTAATGATACTCTTAAAATTTTCCCAGAATTACAGAACTAGACGCAAATGCGAAGAAGATCTTGAAGATACCCAATTTAGTTTTAGAAATGCTATGGAAACCAGGTAGGCACTTTTTGTGTTTGACATCCTATAACATAAATGCCGTGACCAAATAAAAAATGTATTTGCATGTGTCGTGGACTTCGAAAAGGCATTCGATAAAGTAGAGCATGTAAAATTAATGCAAATACTAAAAAATATCCGAATAGATGACAAGGATACTCGTGTCATTAAAAATGTGTACTGGAATCAAACTGCTATCGTAAAAATTGGAGATAACTACACCGAGGAAATCTCTATACAACGAACAGTCAGACAAGGTTGACTTTTTGTCGCCAACATTGTTCAATGTTTACTTGGACCAGTTATTTAAAAATGCACTTGAAAAACAACCATATTGAATAAAAATCAATGAGGAACTCCTTAATGTGATTAGATATGCAGACGATACAGTAATTCTATCAGATAATATTGAAGGTCTTCAAATTCTGCTTGATCGTATTCACGAGGTAGGAGAAGGAAATGGTCATTAAAATAAACTCAAACAAAACCAAATTTTTAGTGTTTAGTCGTGACCCACATCCCGATGCAAAGCTTCAATTAAACGGAGTCCAAGTTGAGAAAGTTCACAAAATGACATATTTGGGAACTGTGATAACGGACCAACTAGATCCAGACATAGAAATAAAACGTAGAATAGCAATGACTAAAACTACTTTTATGAAAATGAAGTCATTTCTTTGCAATAACCATCTCAGTTTAGAACTAAGACAAAGAATGGTTAAGTGCTATGTTTGGTCCGTACTTTTGTATAGTGCAGAAGTGTGACGCTAAAAGTATCGATCATGAACAAAATTAAAGCATTGGAAATGTGGGTTCATAGACGAATGCTGAAGATACCTTGGACAGCAAGGAAAACTAATGAAGAAGTACTAAGGAGCGTCAACAAAGATAGAGAACTGCTAAAGACTGTTAAACATCGAAAAATGTCTTATCTGGGACATATAGTAAGGGAAGTCGATATAAAATATTACAACTGATCCTTAAAGGCAAAATAGAGGGCCGTAGAGGTGTAGGAAGAAAACAAGTTTCTTGGTTAAAAACATTCGTGAATGGACTCAGATATCAAATGCAGGACAATTATTCCATATTGCAGAAGATCGAGAAGCCTTCGCAATGGTGATCGCCAACGTCGGATAATTCTGATATGGCACGCAAAGAAGAAGAAGAGAAAATGCAATAAACCTAATGCAAAAAGAAATAAAATAAAAGATAAGCACGCAGCGAACATTGCAGAGCTAAGGAATTTAAACAAAACCATTTCAAAAGCCGTTAGGAAACTTATAAGGAACTTTAACACTGCAGAAACAACTAACACCATAAAAACAAACTAACACTATAATTTTTACCAATACGATCTTTCTTACACTCAAACATTTTACCGTGATTTATATTCATCAAACAAGAACCCAGATAACACTACAAAGGAATATCTTAAAAGAAAGATACAACTCGGAAATACTTTCTAACGTAGAATCCTTTGAAATAAAACAAGCTATGCATAAACAAAGAACAATAAGGCTCCGGCCCAAATGGAATACTTGTAAAAATGTTGAAGGAGGAAAGTGAAATTATTCTCGAAGAATTGTAAAACTTTTTCAACGAATGTCTTCACAAAGAAGAAGTCCCAGATGATTGGAATGAAATTTAACAATTTCACCACCAGCTTCGTAGCCTTCAATCGAGTTTATTTTCCCGTTGAGCAATTTGTTGGTAGGGTTGTACAACGTTTCAGGTGTCTGAAATTTGGACATGTTTCTAAATAATGCAAAAGTACACAAGATTTCTGTATACAATGTGGTGAAATTAAAAATTCAGATTATAAATGTCAGAAAACCAAGTTTTGCATACACTGTAAAAATAGTGACCATGTAAAAATATCTAAAAACTGCCCTTTTTATGAAAATTATGACAGCATAAAACTACCTTTTTAGAAGCAAAATTATACTGTGAAAATTCATTCTCGGCCAAATTAGTTACAATCCTTTTTCTTTCTTTCAAATTATAATAAAGAATTTTCCACACTCCCTGTAAATAATAAAAATATTTCTATAAATCGACCCAATATGAGTATGAGAGAAAATCAAATTCCAACACACAGTCAAAAATAATTTTGATAGCAAAAATCTTCCTACAGGAAAGAAAAGAAAAGCCAACTCCCTCCTATTCAATCAACAATACAGCAACCAATTTTTACCTTCACATTTGGACCTCACAACCCTTAACTCCTAACCCATACAAACTAAACTATAGAAAAACTAGATAACAAAAATGAATTAGCTAAATGTGTGTCAACTTTTATAATCAAGCTTCTAAGTAACATTCGTACATTGGAAGACATTAAAACGATAGACGATAAAACAATAATTTCAGGTTTACAACAGGTATTTCATACAATAGATAATAGTAATTTTAATGTCTCTTAAACATTCTTTTAAAATAAGTCAGTGGAACGCTAGATCTGCGGTTGCCAATAAAGGCAGCTTAACGAATTATTTAAACAAAGAAAAAATAGACATTCTTCATCTCAGTGAAACATGGTTTAAAAAAATTGCAATATCGATTTAATAGTTACAATCTTATCAGGAATGACAGGTACGACGGTTTTGGCGGTCGTACTTACGTGTTAATAAAATTCGAATTGTTTTTACGATTTTCATCCTATTTAAAATTGGTCATGCTATTCAAAAATGATGTTTTGCACCAATAAATATCTGCATTAAAATTATTGTATTGCTTCTAGATGCTTAATGTAACGATTTCGTAACGTTTAAAATTTTCAAATTTTTTTGCCAAAATAATGATAAAAATTAAATATTAATATGTCGTACATAATTATGATTATGATTTTAATTGAATTTAAACATTTTTTTCGGAAGAATTTCTAAAATTTTGGAAATTTCGTCCTCAGTGGTTTATTTCTTCTTTTTTAACTGCCTTTTTATTTCATTTTTACTGATTTCTGGTTCTAGGTCAGAGTTAACGTTCTTTATTTTCACTATAATATTTGTGCTTTATCTGTAAAATTTCTTTTATATTGTGTGTCTTCACTCCTTCTTTGTTCTTTATGCTATTAATTTGTATGTTTCCCAGGTTCTGCTTTAAGCACTTCATGTTTGTATTTTTTCAATTGTTTTCTCTATCTTTTCTTCCTGTACTCTTCCGTTTACACTCTTTGATATTTTTTCTAATGTTTTGTTATTTCTTGTATTCCATTTTATTTCTGTCCCCTTGTTCAGTAATGTTCTTCTTGTGTTCATAAGAATCTTTGTTTCCTGGGATATGAAACTTTCTTTTTTGTTGTTGTCTGTGCTATTTCTTTACCACTTTCATTAGAGTTTCAGTAAATATCATGTTTATTTCATCGATATGTTTGTATTCTATATCTTTCTTGGTCGGCAATATTTCCTTTATTCTCTCTTCGTACGTCTGTTTTTCTTGTTTTAGTTTTTCCATGTCTAATTTCTGATTATTTTCCATTTTCTTTCTTGTTTCAAATCTACTATCAATGATCAGCTTGGCTCGGACTAGTCTATGGTCGCTACCAGTTGAGAAGCGATTTAGGGCTGTTACGTCTTTAACCATGGATTTTTGCGTTGAAAGAATATAATCAATTTCGTTTTTAGTTTCACCATTGGGACTAATCCATGTCCATTTTCTTTGGGGTTTTTTCTTAAAGAATGTATTCATTGCATATAGTTGCTTCTCCTCCAAGTAATTCATCAATGTGTGTCCTCTATCATTTCTTTTGCCGTATCCATGGTGTCCTACTTTGTCTTCTTCTTTATATAGTTGTTCTCCATTTTGGCATTGAAAGTCCCCGATTATTAGCGTTAATTTTGATTTCTTTTCTTCCATAGCTGTTGTTATGTCTTCGTAAAAATGTTCAATATCTTCATCGCTGTAGGTACTTGTTGGAGCGTATACCTGTATGATTTTTAAGAACTTAACACAATACTAACCGCAATTTATAAAAAAAGCTTCAGTATGAATGTAAAGAAAATTGCATTCAATGAGTTGCGTTAATGCAACTAATGGCCTAAATGGGTTAAATAGCATAATTATATATTTATTTCTTTAAATTGCGGTGCATATCCTCTTTTTTCGATATACTTGTATATTTTTATGTTTTTTTTGTATTTGATTTTATTCTCTTAGCTTTTGGTTTTAATAAAATTTTGACTTTAATATATTTAAATTAACTATAATATTTTTTTGTTTTAGCTGTAGAAGATATTAAAAAAGAGCAGTACTATGATGCGTTTGATTTATGGAGTGATATTGTAAACACTATACAAGAATTTACGGAATTAGATATATACAATTATCTGTCGATTAAAGGAAGTGCTGCTGATGAAGAAGAATTAAACGAATTTTTCAGTAAGGAAGAGGTAAGAAAAGCAATTCATGTTGGAAGTACTGAATTCGGTGATGGTGAAGTTTATACTCATCTCGAAGAAGATATTCCCAAATCAGAGGCATATAAAGTCGCTGAACTCTTAAAATATTATAGAGTTTTAATCTATAATGGACAAACAGATCTTATAGTTCCTTATGCTTTGACAGTAAACTATTTGCAAACGCTTAAATTCCCTGGGTCCGAGGAATACGCAGAAGCAGACAGGACTGTATGGCATGATGATAATGATCGAAGTGTGGTTGCAGGGTATGCGAAAACAGCTGGAAAGTTAACAGAAATTATGGTTAGGAATTCGGGTCATATGGTACCGACAGATCAACCAGAATGGGCTTTACAACTCATTAATAAATTTACAAGAAATGTACCTTTTAACTAAATATAACTTAAGCTGTATCTATTGACATTTTTTATTAACCTATTGACACCCAAATATATTTGTTTTACTTTTAAAATTGTCTGATAGTAATACTGCCCTGCTAAGTAAAAACGTTCTAATTGGCAATATTAGACTTTTGAGAAAAAGCAATATTTGTAGTTAATACCGTGCCGTCATCATTTTAAAAAGCAGACTGTTGCTTTTTTGCATATAAGTAGTTAATTAGGATTAAATTTTTTTTTTGGTTTACCAGCAATCACTTAAACTACTCCAAGTTTAATATTTGATAGATAGGACTTTTTAATTAAGCATTAATAATGTATTGGTTATTTAGATTTATTAATTTTTCAGATAGGACTTCTTTAGTTTAAATATGAATGACAATTAAAATTTTACTAACTGCATTTACTCATTAAATAAGTTTATTAAGAAAAAAGGCCAAACTGATACATATTGCATATTACCACAAAAGTAATTACATTAAAAAAAAAGAAAAAAATTAAATCAAATTACAAATTATCCTCAACGACGGATTCTGACACTGGCATATTTTCCCAAAACATAATCCTATTCTTAGGTAATATTGGGCGGAGCTTATTTAGCAAAGTTTGTTTTCTCTTCATGTCAATCCCTCGAGCCTTAGTATGCATATGGGGTTTGGGTATGTCTGCTTTGAAAGATTTTGCCATTAGGAAATTAAGATTTATAAAATCGTCTGAAAAGCTTACTTTGTATTTAAGGTTTTTACTTCCTCTTGAACAAGAAAAAAACGAACTATATCTCGTAAATATGGCCTTGGTGACAAGTGATTAATTTTATGCTTTGAGCTATGATCTTTCCATGCATAAAAATGTTCTGTTTGCATAGGTAATATCTGCACTTTTCCAGAATTTGAATTCTGGACACAAGACATAAAGTCATAAAAGTCGAATACTTTACCCATTTTTGTTAGTTCCTTTTCTACCTGATGATGGAAACTATCAGCTGCCATAAAAGTGTGTCCAGGTTCAAAAAATTTTAGAGTCAAATTTTGTTACTGAACTTCAGGACTATTTACAATATATATGAGAAAGGAAAGAATTGCCCAGTTTTTGTTTTGCGATGCGCAGTTATCTAACCAGAATGTTATATTTTTTTCATCTCTGTGATGTAAAATAAATCTGTAAAATGTCGAAATAGTCTTCCTTATTTCTGCCTGATACACCCTCATGCCAAATAACCGCTGTTGGTTTTTGTTTATTCGATGAATTACCGATTGGCACAAAACTTTCGTTGTATGCAATAATGCGAGGAACAAATATTACCTCTTTAAACATCTCTGCCCGAGGTAACATGATCACCTTTTGTAAATTAACAGAAATATACATTTCGTGAGAGGTTGTGGATACAGCCACATCATTTTGATATTCTTTCCGAGCTGAGTCATATAAAATTTTATGCTTCATCCATGTTTGACAGGAGTCACAGTCTGCATTTTCATTAACTTCATTATGTTTTGTCTCAGATTTATGTAGGTTGTATATTTCACATTCAAAACACTCTTCATGACCCAGCTTTGCAAGTGATATATTCATATTACTAACATTTTTACGATAAACTTCATAACTGACTTTCATATCTGGATACATTGCCTTGAAATGCTTGTGCATTTGTGTAATAGAAATATTACTGGGCAAATACAGCCTATTTGGTGCATATTCTCGACGATAATGTGCTATTGTCGGATTGAATGTACGTGTTGTTTGATACGATCGGTATCAATTTTCCATTTACATGGATGACGTCCTCTTTTATCAGGAACAGGTATTATGGTCGTAGCTGCTGGAGTGTTTCGAATAGTTTTCAAGATTCGGTCATTGTATTATCAAGTAGCTGCCTAATAAAAGGCAAAGTTTTGTCTGCAACATCGATGTCCACATCATATTCGTTAATATTATTGGAAAAGTGTTTGTTAGTTGATATAATTTTATCCTCACCCGGGTTAAGTGTTGTTTCTGAAGCTGTAGAAGATTCTGCTGCATTAAATTCAACTTCTGCATCAGCAAATTCTCGTTTTTTCTTTTTCTTGTCGTCAATGCGTATTTCTTCTCGAAACTGTTAATTATGCAATGCTAATGCAACTAATTTTTTCCCCCTGTCCATTTTCCTGAAGAAAAACAAAAATTTACTGACTACTCAATTATTATGTATATTTATTTTTACTTACCACAGCGAATCAAAATGTACAATAGTTAATACACTTAGTTTGATAGTATTACGAAAATAAGCCTGCTTGCTGCAAGCGTCACAAATACAAATGAAATCAACAAAAATTATTACATCCAATTATCTATCAAATATCTATATGACGCGATCGGGTATTCACATCACTTCACAGAATAATTCCCCTAGTCATATATTTCGTATAAGCGCTAGGTCAACATTAATTTCACCAGTTGAATGATTTCAACATGACTTATTTAGTCAAAAAGTCCTATCTTCACAATTTGATGCAGACAGGACGCTTTAACTAAGTAGTCAGTATATAGGATAATTATTCTAAGCACAGCGGCTGTTAGTTGTAGAAAGGACAAACAAATTTATGATTTTGTACGATTTGAGGTGGCACAAAGGATTTTTTGACTAAGTAATAAGATGATAAACGTCTAATAGTAGTAGAATATAACCTTATCTAGAAAAAACGAAAATTGTAGATCGGACGTTTTTACTAAGCAGGGCAGAATAATCATAGTCATACTTTATTGATACTTTTTTTTATTTTAATAGTGCATGAACTACGCAGGGTTATTATCATCGAGCAAAAAGACAATAGAGGGAATGTAAAGGTAGTAGGGGCAAAAATATTGTTAGACAGGAAGTGCGATCTTTAGAGGCCACATTAAACAAGGAAAGAGAGTCTCACTCCTTTTTTGACATCAAATTTAGTTGGGTTATGTTATTGTTTGTCCCAAATGTCACATAAAATCTTATTTATATTGAAGTTTTTTAACAATTGTGTCGTATTTTAGACTATTACCGTTAATAATTAATTAAAACTTTCTCGTCTAAGACACATTCTGAAAAATATTATATAGCTACTGTTAATAAGTGTCGGAAAATTTAAATTTGGCGCATTCGCATTTCCGGATATGTCCGCCATCAGAGGCCACTTTTTTGGTCTCCTTTTCATAAGGATTAGATTCCCTCTTTTGTCTTTTTACTCTATGGTTATTATGGTCTGTTTTTTAACCAGGAGAAGTAATTCAAATTTTTCGCGCCATAATGCTTGTTTGTAATTGGTCCAAGCGCAGGCAAGTTTACTCCACTAAATTATGACATATTGACACTAATGACATTTGTGAAATTTTAAAATTCTAAATTTATATTGACGATTTTTTGTATTTTCTGCGTTATTCCTTACATTCATAGATTTTTCGTTTGCATTTATATAAAGAACAGTTCTTTTCAGAACTATTTAATGTTATTAAGATAACAATATGGATTCAATGCCAAGTACTAGTGGTAATTATTCTTCTCCACCTTAAAAACGCCGAGTAGATTTGGGTCATTTATCAACAAATAAGAAACAATGTATTATAAACATGTATAAAAAAAATGAAAATTGATAATTCTGGATTGAAAATAACAGCCACGGTAGCAAAAGTAAAACAGGCAGCAGGTTAGTTTTGCTGATTAGTTATTATTAAAATCAAGACTTACTAAAATAATTTGCTAATTTTAGGTGTTGCGAATTCAACTATTTACCAAACAATTAAAGAATATAAGCAGACTGGTGATATGCGAATATTATTTAATGTGATATTTTTATAGATGATATTTATACTAAATATTGTTTAAAGTGTTTATAAATTTATAAATGTATGTTATTTATATCTAATTATCATAATAAAAACGGCAACTATCTTTTAAATTTAGTGTACACTTGTTACGAAGCATTTTCATTTTGTTTTCATCACAATAAAAGAACATTAGTAAAGTAATGTTGTGTTTTAGTTTGATTGTATTGATACAGTTGGTTTTGTTCTTCCTGGTTGTAGATAATCACAAGAAAACTGCAAAATTATGCTTAAATGTAACATAATAGATTGAATTTGTTAATTTTAGTCAATTTTATTTATTGATAACAAATGTTACAAACTCAAGAATCCAAAACAAGAATCCAGCATTAAAAAATTGCAAGTACACACTTATTTATACAAAGTATCTTTTTGCATTATAGTGCTTCAAATAGAACCTAAAGATATTGATACATAAGTTAAACAAATTTAACTAATGAGGTAACTGATTACCAAATAGGACCACACCTATATTTGAACCATAATTTATTCTGTGATGGGAAACATGAAAAAGTGAATTTTAAAGCAGTGAACGGGAAGGAGTATGTAAAACAAATATTCAGGAGATTGGATTATTAAGCTTAAAAATAATGATCAGTCAAAGTTAACTCTTCTGGTAAGAAAAAAACCTATATTCAAGAAATTAATCACATCAGAATAAAAATATGGTCTACACAGTTTAAAAGAACAGTATTTCAGAAATCTTTGAACTCTCTCTAACTTTTTGATACATGCATTTGCATAGCTTTGTTGCATACTTATTAGATCTATTTGCAAATTAAAAGACAAATTTATGTGAAAAACCAAACTTAGATGAATGTGAAAAACATCCTTTTTTATTGTAATAATTGTAATATTTATTGGAAGTGAATTGAAAAAAAATATTATTCAAACATAAATTAACAAAGTTAGGTTAGAATTGACGTAGAAGGTTGTCCGATATTGATTACTCGATTACCGCAAGGCCGAGATAATCAACAAAAAAAGAAGATGTATTTGGTGACTTTTCTAGTAACTTTCTTGGGTGTGAATCTGTCTTTTTGGCTTACTCCTCCTGGTTAAAAAACAGAGTATAGCGTATTTGAATTAATGTGACAGTTGATACAATTAGCGATAGTTTACAATAATAATTACAATGTGTATGTGTATCACAATGTATGTTTTAGATCTTTTGAAGAAGATGAC